GACACACTGTCCCATTCACACTGTGACACACTGTCCCATTCACACTGACACACTGTCCCATTCACTCTGTGACACACTGCCTCATACAAAATGACACACTGCCGCATTTACACTGTGACACACTGCCCCATTCACACTCTGACACACTGTCCCATTCACACTGTGACACACTGCCCCATTCACACTGACACACTGCCCAATTCACACTGTGACACACTGACCCATTCACACTGACACACTGCCCCATTCACACTGTGACACACTGTCCCATTCATACTCTGACACACTGCCCCATTCACACTGACACACTGCCCCATTCACACTGTGACACACTGGCCCATTCACACTCTGACACACTGCCCCATTCACACTGACACACTGCCCCATTCACACTCTGACACACTGCCCCATTCACACTCTGACACACTGCCCCATTCACACTGACACACTGCCCCATTCACACTCTGACACACAGTCCCATTCATACTCTGACACACTGCCCCATTCACACTGTGACACACTGTCCTATTCACATAGTGATACACTGCCCCATTCACAATGACATTACTGACCCTCCCCCACCATTGCTTCCTTGTCCTGATGCCACTTGCTCTCTGTCCTCTTTTTCCAACTGATCTTCCTTTCTCAACCAACCTGCTGCCCCTCCCAGGAGCCAGTGCTCTCAGGCACTACCCTATCACTGTACCATACTAAAGCACGGTCCCGGCAGCTTTATTATAGAGACTGCGGCTTGTTGGCTCAATTCCCGCACATGTTCACAACTGCTCTGTCTACACTTTGATATTGGAGCTGCTGGTGCATAGAATCCAGAGACTATTGATTGACATTTCAACAATATCTCTGAACCTTCTTACACTGAACCAGAGCTCTTGTTTGTTCAAAACATCATTGCAAATGATCCCACAGTCTGTGGTGGAATTCAGTATTCCTACTACTCTTTACTCATTGTTAAAAAATGCATAATTTTATATAGAATCATTGACACCTGTAATGTGGAAGCAGGTCATTCAGCCCATACCAACCCTCCAAAGAGCATCCCACTCCACTACTCTATTTCTGTAACCCCGCATTTCCAATGGCTGACTCACCTAGCCTGCACATCCCTGGACACTACAGGACAATTTAGCACAGCCAATCCACCTAAACTGCACATCTTTGGACTTTGGGAGGAAACGCACACAGACACAGGGAGAATGTGTAAACTCCACACAGACAATCACCCGAGGGTGGAATTGAGCCCATTTCCCTAGTCCTGTGAGGCAGCAAAGCTAACCACTAAGCTACTGCGCCACCTCAGATTTGAAATATATTTGAAATAAACTTGAGCTTTAACCATTGCAGGGCACAGGCCCTAGTTTTTCGTACTTTGTGCACCCCACTGTCTCAGGGCTTTTTAACAATATAAGCCTCTGGTGTAAACCCAGTAAATCACCAATTAATCAATATTTTTCTTTTCATTTTTCTGACGTTATTCTTCTAGAAGAACGTGAGACAATTTTGTAATATTACAAGCATGATAAATGACAAACAAAAGAATATATTTGCCTGGTAGGAAATATATTTTATGCAGACTTATCAAGAAAGAATCATTTTAATTTTCAGTACACAGAATAATTTTAAAAACTATGCATGCTCAGCAGCAACTGAACAAAGGCGTTCATATGCAGGCACTGTGGACAGGTTTCTATGGACACTGAACTTACCATCTGACCTGTGAACTGTGTCCAAGTATAATGTCAACACTGCTGTGCGTAGTTTAAGGTGATTGAATCATAGAATAAGTGCAGCACGGAAGGAGGCCAATCTGCTCATCCTGCCCAGACTGGCTTACTGTTAATGTGGGTGTGGGGGATGGAGATGGGAAGGGGAAGTGTGGTTTGGCAGAATTGTCAGCCTGTGGAAATTTCCATGGCTCTGGACTCAATAGTGATAAATGCAAACAGCAGTTGTGTTTTAAGTCACATTGCTCTTACCCTTTAATATGACACCTCCTTATCAGCCAGAATGGCAGACATCTGGTTCGATGACACTTGGGAGAGGTATAAAAACATTTCCTGTTCTTGCAATTTGCTCAGGCTTCACTGCTAAATCAGACATTCCCTTTATACTTGGCAAATGTTCTATTTTTAGTTGAGTATTGCAATAGCAATGCACTGCCATAAGAATTGGCCAAGGCTTGGCCTTTGGATCTATGTTAACAAAGCACTATGAACTGGTGCAGCAAAATGTAATTATCTAGAATTACCTCTGTTCTTGGCAGAACATAAAATCAACTAGATTTCTGTTTCTAGTCTCCATTCAATTACTCCTGAAGTGAAGTGCAACATAGAAACATAGAAAATCAGAGCAGTAATAGGCCATTTAGCCCTTCCGCCTGTTCTGTCAATAAATATGATCAAGGCTGATCATCTAAGTCAGTTCTCCCATACCACTTGATCCTTTTAGCCCTATGAACAATATCTAACTCTTTCTCGAAAACATTCAATATTTTGCCGTCAACCACTTTCTGTGGCAGACAATTCCACAGGCTTACCGGGTGAAGAAATTTCTCCTCATCTTAGTCCTAAACAGTTTAGCCCGTATCATTAAACTGTGACACCTTGTTCTAGACTCTCTGGTCTTTGGGCACATCCTTCCTGTTTTTTGCCTGTCCAGGTGTACTAGTGTAGTTTATGGTTATGGGGTGAAGGCAGGAATGACCATAGTTATGATGTCTCGTGATGAGAGATTAGCCTACTGATGTTCATTTTCACAGATAAAAGTGTTTGGTGACCATTTGCCAGGTTTCCAAAGCCATAGGATCCCACACCTTTTAAGAAGATTAGTAGAAAAGGGGATGTGGAAATTAGGCAACCAGTTCTTAATGGTATACTGACTGAGTATTTAATTGCATTCTGATGGTAGACATCAGCTGGGGATTCATTGTACTCTTTATAATAAGAACAGACTGAAATGAGGGTTGTTGGGTTTGGAGGTGCATGTGTGTAATGGGTATCTCTGCAAATAAACATTTCTAAACTGTGTGGAGATTTGGATCCAGATCTGCACTTTGCCAGCAGAAGGTCTGAAAGGGTACGTCAGTACTGGTAAGTACTTTTTGACAATAAACTTACATCGTAACATAGGAAATAGGAGCAGGAGTCAGTCCATGGAGTCTGCATCATCATTCGGCTAGATCGTGACTGATCTTCTACTATCATGCCATTTTCACTCAGTATCCTCATATTGCACTGATAGCTTCAATATCAAGAAAATTATTGATCACTTTCTTGAATATAATTATTCTTTTGTAAATTTTCTTTGAAAAATGAGTGTAAGGTTCTGTGCTACAAACTGCAGGTAATTTATGTTTTCAGAATTCTGCACTGTCACTAAACCAGAGTACTGTGCCACAGCAACCCCATGTGCATTGGGACAAGAATTAAGTCAAGCCTTTCAAAAATAGGTCAGAAGTTACACAACACCAGGTTATAGTCCAACAGGTTTATTTGAAATCACAAGCTTTCAGAACACCACTCCTTCATCAGGTGAAATCCCGATGAAAGGGCAGCACCTCATAAGCTTGTGATTTCAAATAAACCTGTTGGAGTATAACCTGATGCCTTGTGACTTCTGACCTTGTCCACCCCAGTGCAACACTGGCACCTTCACATTATTCCAAAAACAGGACACATGATAGTCTGTAGAAATCAGCCAATTGGTCTCATGCTTTATTAGATTGTATCTAAGCCAGAGATGAAGTTTTGGTGTCTTTTATAATTTAGTGGATGGAGATTGGAAGCATTAAATTAGTAAATGTTTCAGTGTAAATTCCTGAGGTCAGGGCGTAGTCATTGCAGGAGCTGAGTGTTTTATTATACTGCCCTTTTACTGCTGCTCTCTCTGTTTGGGAGGTGTAAATAAAGTTGATTTTATAATGGCTGCCTGCAGCTGTGGGTAAGCTTGTCCTGTTCAGTCCAATAAACAGCAGAGGGGGCAATTTAATGAGTGACTTGGCTTGGTAGCATATTCTGCAACAGGTCATGAAGCACACTTGGTTTGATTTCCTGCCAAAGCACTGTAATGCTGAAGGAAAAAAAGTTTCAGATGCAATGGGAATAATTTGTTCAGTTGATCCATGGGGGAATAGCTCTCCATCTTGCTGCAACAAATCACTAACTACGCGAGAGAAATAAGATACAGTGAAGCCTCTGAAGAAGCTGGATGCCTAGTCTTTATATACTCCAGCTGTAGAAGGAAGTTTACATGTATAAGTGGGTATTGTAATAAGATATATGAATGCACATTAAATATTTATTATTCTTGCTTGGCGAAGACAGCTGTTGACTTCTTGCGGAATATTATCTTGTTTGATACTGTTGCCCTCCAGTCGAAGCACTCGAATCTTGGAGAAGCTCATTAATCCCATGGTTCTACAGAAGCTGTCCACGGTGAACTCTGCAAACACCACAAACTGAAATGTCAGAGACGTGCTGGAGAATGTACAGGTGTATACATCACTGATATTTAAAATGCAGTTTTTCAGAAATTGCGCAACCCCTTTAAACTGCCAAAAATAAATGGCTTTCAGAATTTTTTTTTCATTTGTTCACAGGATGTGAGCATCACTGGCCAGACCAACATTTACTGCACTCTTTATAATAAGAAATGACTGAAATGAGGGTTGTTGGGTTTGGAGGTACCTATATGCAATCGGTACCTCTGCAAATAAACATTTCTAAACTGTATGCAGATTAGGATCCAGTTCTGTACTTTGCCAGCTGAATGTCTGAAAGGGTACAGCAGTACAGACAAGTACTTTTTGACAATGAGAGATAATAGGAACTGCAGATGCTGGAGAATCCGAGACAACAAGGTGCAGGGCTGGATGAACACAGCAGGCCAAGCAGCATCATAGGAGCAGAGAGGCTGACGTTTCGGGCCTAGACCCTTCATCAGAAAAGGGGGAGGGGAAGGGGGTTCTGAAATAAATAGGGAGAGAGTGGGAGGCGGAACAGAAGATGGATAGAGGAGAGGATAGCACCTCCATCGCCTACCGACCAACCTCATCCCGCCCCCTTGACCTGTCCGTCCTCCCTGGACTGACCTATCCCCTTCTTAACTCCCCACCTACACTCACCTTTACTGGCTCCAACCCCGCCTCTTTGACCTGTTTGTTTCCTCTCCACCTATCCTCTCCTCTATCCATCTTCTATCCGCCTCCCCCTCTCTCCCTATTTATTTCAGAACCCCCTTCCCCTCCCCCTTTTCTGATGAAGGGTCTAGGCCCGAAACGTCAGCCTCTCTGCTCCTATGATGCTGCTTGGCCTGCTGTGTTCATCCAGCCCTGCACCTTGTTGTCTCTACTTTTTGACAATATTGCCCATGTGAGGATAGTGTTGTGCTTCCTTTTTTTTTAACTCATTTTGGTCCTTGGGTGTAGGTGCACCCACAGTAGGGACAAATGTTCCCTTTCATTTTACTTCCTTTATTCGTTAACAGGATGAGGACGTCACTGGCTAGGCAGCATTTACTGTCCATCTCTAATTCAGAGTCAACCAGATTTCTGTGGGTCTGGAGTCACATGTGGGCCAGACCAGGTAAGGATGGCAGTTTCCTTCCCTGAAGGACATTAGTGATCCAGATGGGCTTTTCTGACAATTGACAATGGATTCATGGTCATCATTAGATTCTTAATTCCAGATATTTATTGAATTCAAATTCCACAATCTGCTGTGGCAGGATTTGAACCCAGGATCCCAGTTATTTGGGTCTCTGGATTAACAGTCCAGTGATAATACCACAAGGCCATTGCCTCCCCTTTTCTTTCCAGTTGTGTGGGTTTCTGAGGTGGATAAGTGGCAGTGATGTCTGGAGCTGGAGGCTAAACCCATGATTGGCATACTGACAACAAACACCCATGACCAGAACCTTGGAGACATTCGGGGGCAATTTGGGTATGACATGAGATAACCTGTAAATCCATATGAATTTCAACCTGAGCTTAGAATTAGGCAGAGAGTTTTAGTTAATTTCATAAATCATTTAAGATTCATTTTTCATTTACTCTTATTCAAGAAAGTAGTCAGGTTAAAAGAAAAATTAGTTAAACTGCATTAACTTGCTCAAATGCTGATGGAACAGACAGAGTTCCTGTGCAAAAGACAACATAGTTGAGCCAGCATTAACCCTGAGTCCTATTTAGAAATGGAATGTGAAGATGACCCTGCACCAGACTGAGAAAGGAAAAGCAATGGACTTTTGTCAAGGGTGGGAACAGAGCATAGGCTTTGGAGAGGAGATAGAATGGCACCTTGGAGAACAGTGCATAGTGGAACCAGGGGAAGAAGCCACCTGCCACTTTTGGAACATGTGAAAAATGAGCTGCTTGTATAAAACAGACCAGTTCTAAATCTAAGTAGTGTACTGTCTATGTCACTTATGACATACAAATAGCAGATGAATCCTCATTGAGTTAGAGTGATACCTTGGAATGTTTTCTGAGGTGGACCCTCCCAACATCGGCACAACAAATGATCATTGACCTGAACCTCAAATCTCCTAAGATGATTTCGCAAAATAATCTACCACAACAGAAGGTTACGCTACGTGCACAACTATGTAGTTTAGGGTTTTGATTAGGAAAGAGATCAAGATTTAGGGGGAGAACGCAGGAGAATGGCACTGAGAAACAAATCAGCCATGACCAAATGGTGGAGAGACTTGATGGGCCGAACGGCCGAATTCTGCTGTTATATTCTGTAGTCTTAGATCTAAAAGCAGAAGTGGACGTGTTGATATTGTGTTTGGAAGTATAAAAATAAGTTACATCCTATCCAATCCAAATTCACTTATTGTTGGTACTTAATATTATCCCTTTTATTATGTGACAGCTGGGTTTGCTTGTTTGGGTGGAGATCAGATGAGTCAAGCTGAGAAACTGCCTTGAATTATCAGGGTCAGAAACATACTGTGGACTAGATCCGATTGCTGGGGGTTGAAGGCAGTAGTCGGATGATGTTTGGGAAGGGTCCGGTGGCAGTTTCCCAGATGTCATTTCCCAAAATTGGCCTGGATTTGGATCTGCTATTTTTGCATTTAGAAGCTCACATAGCTTTGAGAAGTGAGTTGAATGCATGCATTGTGATATACAAAACATCATAATTACTTAGGTGAAGAGTTGAAAGTTCTTTCCCTATCTATCATTGTTCACTCAAGATGAACTTCTTGAGGTGGTCTCTGTCTCTTTTGTCTGCTCTCAGCTCAAGTTCAATATTGCAGAAATATTCTTTCACATCAATGCCATATTTATTCTGTGAATAGCACCAAGAACAGAATGAGTCACCAAGTGGTTGAAATAATAAATATTACAACTCAGCAATCTATTTGACATCACCTTCTAAACAATCAACCTCCACTAGCTAGAGGGGCAAGGGCAGGAGGTGCATGGGAACACTATCGTCTGCAAGTTCTCTTCCAAGTACACTTGAGTTGAAACTACATTGCCATTCCTTCACTGCCATTGGCATCAAAATCCTGGCACTCTCTTTCAATTAGAAATGAACAATAAATACCAATTTTGTCAGTAACACTCACCTCACAAAGATTAATTATATTAAAGTTTGCCAGAGTAGCAGGGAAGTTTAGCGCTGGTTAGTTGCCAATGCAGCGTGATTAGACAGTAACCTGCTTGTTGATCTTCCCATTAGATCTCTTTGTAGTGGAATTGAAAGCATACTGTAGCTGGAATTGTGATTGAGCAACCTGGGCGGGATCTCATCCTAGATTCCCCGTGAGACCTGACAACACAGCTGTGCAGGCCTATCTATCACAGCAGCCAGACGTTCAGGATTAGGGTTTTCTGGTGAATTTCCCAGATTGAGAATCCCTTTCCCCCCCAATTCCACCCATTCCATTACCAGGGGTCACATTTAACCTGGACAAAGGCTTTGTTGAAAACAGATTCTGATGGAAATTTCCTACCCAGAGTCATCTTATTGCTGGCTCACTACCATGGGAGTGGAATGCTGGACTTGTGGAAATTAATTACCCAGGTGTTCATAAGCTATTCAACTGTGAAAGGTATCATACCTAAGCCTGGTTGTGTTTTCAGCTAATGTCACTACAAGATACGTACAGAGTTTATCTTGACATTTTGTGAATAGGAACCTGAACTTCAGAAATGAGGATTCTGGCTAGTTTTCCGGGAACATTCCTGGCTGGATGTATCCTTGTCTGAAATGAAATCATTCGACTTGAATTCAAGATTGAATTTGGAATCTTTCTATTTGACATTGCCCAGCATCAAACTTTTACTTTAATGAGTGCCCTCCTATTCTGTTATTTTCCAACTAGTCATTAGATTCCCCTTCTGCCAATTTTGGTGTTTGACGGTACAGACTCTTACATAGAAACCAAATAATTGAAGTTCTACATTGAATCTGAGCTTCGATGGATTAGACACAGAACATTCCCAGGTGACTCACTGGATGATAACCAGAAGTAAGCTGGTGTCTTTTTGGCTTCTCCTAGCATATGTCTTGTGGTGTAATGGTAACGTCCCCACTTCTGGGCTAAATGTTCCAGGTTTGAGTTTCCCGCCAAGCATTGTTGAGCATACAGGGTGTGTCTGTCTGCAACATGGCCAAACAGATTAATTATCAGCCTGTAATGTAAACCCCTCCAATAAATCTGACGGCGAGTGGAAGAGTTTTCTTGTCAGCTATCCTTTAGAAGAGAATACGACTGCAGGAATTTGCCTATAAGGATTGATTCCAAGCCAATGGTCCTTTATTTGGATATGAAAACATGAGAAAAGACAAGCAAACAGAACCAACGGTAATGAAAGCCATTAACTCTTTTTTTCCAAATACATACTTTATTCATAAAAATGATTAAGGTACATTCCAAAACATTTTAATTTGAATATTAAAAAAATGCGATAAGATTCATCGAATCACTACATTATGAAAGCAGGCCATTTGGCCTATCAAGTCCATACTGACCCTCCAAAGAGGATCATACCCAGACTCAGACCCTATCCCTGCATGACTAATCCACCTAACCTACACATCTTTGGACTGTGGGAGGAAACCAGAGCACCCAGAGGAAACCCATGCAGACACGGGAGAATGTGCAAACTCCACACAGAGAGTCACCTGAGGCTGGAATTGAACCCAGGTCCCTGGTGCTGTGAGGCAGCAGTGTTAACCACTGCTTGCCTCTATTTAATGTGTTCCACTCTTAGATGCCTTTATATGATTAAAATGGTCTTAATATTTACAGCCCAAGTCAAGCCATTTCAAATTGGGAATAAAAACACACTCTCCCCTATATACTAAGTTGCACGCTAAGGTGCCTCAAGACAATTTCAATACTGTTTACGTTCACAATGTACATTCTTCATAAGATACAGGGGAGCCTAGGGAGGGTAAATGGAGGGACAATGCACAGCTCAA